AGAAATGGAATAACGTCCCCGGTATTCGTTTTCAATCAATGGCGCCAAATGTTCAAAATTGAGCTGTCCGTTTGCACAGAGTTGTTTTTTGACGAGACCAATTTTTCACTAAAAACTTGTACCGGCCAATGAAAAAACCGGTCCATACGACTACTCGGCACACGCCATTTGTCTCAAGTGTTTTTGCGACGTGAACGGTTGAAAATTTCAAACCACTGCTTGAACGCAAGTCGGTCAAGAGACCGCAGGAAAAGAAAACTCATCGGCCCGAAGCGACCTCGAAGATTCTCATGTCAGCCACTTTTCTATGCATAACACCTCTATAAAAAAGCTTTTATCCTCGCTCCGGCGATCATCCAGCACTCGAAAACACTAAGCTAAACGACTGCATTCAAATAAGGAAAATTTTTTACACATGAAGGAAGTCAAAATCCGTAATCGTACAGTTTTACGCCTCAATTTCACACTTTCGCAATCGTGACCATTACAAACATAGCTGAATGTGAGAACTTCAGATCAACTACGAGCGTAGCGATTCTACAGACGTTTGCACAAATAAAAGACACTAGGGATGGCCTTATCACTACCTAGGCAAAGTTAAGCCTGGCGACGAAGTTGTCAGTTGTCAGATGTTGTTGTTGTTTGCTATCTCAAGTCGATCTTCATCCCGATGCTCATCTACTGCCATGAGTCATGAGTGAAATACTTCGATTTCGGCTACAAACAGCTGAGATGGGCCTTCAGAAACGAATCGATCGACTCATACGTCTCGAAACAATCCGGAGTTCAGATATCCGAGGAAACCTTGGGATAAAGCAATTTCTTCCCCAGGTTGAGAAGTCATAGTTGCGATAGTTTCAACAAGCTTGCGAATGCTTCCAGAAAGGAATCGACGCAACTACTACTTGTTCGACCGACCGGCCGAAGACTCTAGCCATGGCCAAGAATGAAATGCGGCAAGTGTATGGAGGGACTATGCTCCAGGCCTGGATTATCTTTTGCTGATGCTCAATCGCTATCACAGAAGCAGGAACGTTGGAAACACTGTCTAAGGCGTCCATCCCTATGACATGAAAGGATCATCACTGGTCATCAATACTGACTAAGTGGCAGTCATGATGATGATCATGCAAAAAGATCGGACTGCCGTGAAATAGCATAAGTAGCAGCGTCTACCAGATACTCAGATTACACCTTAACAAGATCCATCTCTACAAAAAATCTTACTGGAGAACTGAATTAAAAATTTAAAGATATTAACTGAGTTGAAATTAGTTGAGTTCTTTATGCGGATGGAAAGTTCTGGATCGTAACAATCTGCCAAGGGTCTACTCTACATAAATTTTGTTAACATAAATCGTCGCGTTTCGGGTTGAGCTATCTTCAATGAATATTATATAACATGTACAGCTACAAGAAAATAAAGTAATTCATTTGTGCCTTGGTAATCAGAGTGAAAAAACAGCGTATAACACTGTTTACTTATCCACAATGCAAAGGATACTGAGGCTACTCCAGTAGATCTGGTCTTCAGGCTCCGAAACTGTCGACCGCTGTGGATGACCAACCACATTTACGAAACTTCCCCACCAACCTACCTTGAAGAAGGCCCGTGAGACACTGGCCGAAACGTCGGAATTGGTCAGTCACCTGAATAACCACAGCATCTTTTGAGTTGTGTATAAGTAAACCGTGTTTAATGCTATCTTTTAATGTACAAGTACAATTAGCAACGTTAACAATGGGACAAGGTCGGGATTTATATGCGAAGTAAACAATATGAATATCGTGATGATCAGAAACTCAACCACTTGGATATTTTCACACCATACAGTTGATTACTAGCAGTTTTATGGAGAATAACTTTAATCGATAGAGAACCGAGCTAATGTTTATCCATTTTTCATCTTTAGTAAAATAGTTATTCAATGCCTATTTCATTGGAACTAATAATTACATATATCGGAAATAATTCGAAAAACTGATCAGAATCAGCGGATCATTATTATTACCGCAATCGCATAACCATCATCATCACTTTAATATCATGTGATGGGATTGCAACTGGTGCTAAGTCTCACACTAGATAATCAGTAATTAAATGGACCAAGGCGAAATGTAGTCACAAGAGAAGTTCGTGTCAGACAGCATCATCTTGATCATTTTGATACGACTTTGTTATTCGTAAGTTACATACCAGTTCCTCGACGGCAGGATGAATTAAAGCAATGTGGGGTAAATTCGTTGCAAATCGGAATTGGTGATTAAGACAAAAATTGTCCCTTTTGTGCATTCAAACCTGATACGTCCGGAGTTCGAGGCCGGCCTCTGCCACTTAACCATAACGTCGCTAAATCGTTATCACTACCATTGTCATCATCACATTCACAATTTTAGCAAATCTTCTTATTAAGAATAGGCTGAATCATGATTATGACGACTACAGCATGTTGAGATAAAGGTAAGTGATGACAAAAAATAGGTATGATGATATTGATTAAGGTGTTAGACACGAGCAATCATGAAGATAATCACGATGACATAACTGATAACAAATTTAACAAAGATAAAGAAAGAAACTGCAATGAAGATAACAACAAAGATGAATAGATAACTGCGAAGTATTTGATGATGACTTTGGTGCCGGACTGATAGGAAAATCTGTCAAGTGTGTAGCCATTGTGTCGAAAAAAGTGAAGAATTTAAATACAGCTGGTGTTTATTAAAAACAGTATTCCGAAGATATAATAAGGATCTTGATCAAGTAAGGATAACTGTGAGGGGCAGAATCTAAAGGGGATCATATCGATCATGAGTGTGACGGTGGTAGAGAATTAATTATAAGTAAAAACTACTAGAGGATATTGCGCAACATTCTCACATCGATGAAGTGACGATAAGGCAAATATAATGGCAATATGATGATTGTAATAATACATGTTTAAACTATGGTTGAAATGATCCTGGCGACAATAAGACGAAGACCCAACAATAATACGGCTCCTAAAATTCTGGACGAAGGCGAAAATAAAAAGAGAATGAATATGAAGAAATTTATCAGTAGAATAGCAATATGAAAGATAACATAACCGATGATCGGTAATGATCGTATGGATATATTAGTAAGAAAGTGATGATAAGCAAAGGAAGATCAGGACGATGATGAAAAATCGTCA